AATGAAAAAAGCTAAAATCAACTTGATACTACCTGAAAGTAGCAGAAATGTAATAAAAAAGTAGCCGAATGAAAAAAGCTAAAATCAACTTTATACTAGCTAAAAGTAGCAGAAATGCACTAAAAAAGTAGCCGAATGAAAAAAGCTAAAATCAACTTGATACTAGCTGAAAGTAGCAGAAATGCACTAAAAAAGTAGCCGAATGAAAAAGCTGAAATCAACTTGATACTAGCTGAAAGTAGCAGAAATTCACTAAAAAAGTAGCCGAATGAAAAAAGCTAAAATCAACTTGATACTAGCTGAAAGTAGCAGAAATGCACTAAAAAAGTAGCCGAATGAAAAAAGCTAAAATCAACTTGATACTAGCTGATATTAGCAGAAATGCACTAAAAAAGTAGCTGAATGAAAAAAGCTAAAATCAACTTGATACTAACTAAAAGTAGCAGAAATGTAATAAAAAAGTAGCTGAATGAAAAAAGCTAAAATCAACTTGATACTAGCTGATATTAGCAGAAATGCACTAAAAAAGTAGCCGAATGAAAAAAGCTAAAATCAACTTGATACTAGCTGATATTAGCAGAAATGCACTAAAAAAGTAGCTGAATGAAAAAAGCTAAAATCAACTTGATACTAGCTAAAAGTAGCAGAAATGCACTAAAAAAGTAGCTGAATGAAAAAAGCTAAAATCAACTTGATACTAGCTGAAAGTAGCAGAAATGTAATAAAAAAGTAGCCGAATGAAAAAAGCTAAAATCAACTTAATACTAGCTGAAAGTTGCAGAAATGTACTAAAAAAGTAGCCGAATGAAAAAAAGCTAAAATCAACTTGATACTAGCTGATATTAGCAGAAATGCACTAAAAAAGTAGCCGAATGAAAAAAGCTAAAATCAACTTGATACTAGCTGATATTAGCAGAAATGCACTAAAAAAGTAGCTGAATGAAAAAAGCTAAAATCAACTTGATACTAGCTAAAAGTAGCAGAAATGTAATAAAAAAGTAGCCAAATGAAAAAAGCTAAAATCAACTTGATACTACCTGAAAGTAGCAGAAATGTAATAAAAAAGTAGCCGAATGAAAAAAGCTAAAATCAACTTTATACTAGCTAAAAGTAGCAGAAATGCACTAAAAAAGTAGCCGAATGAAAAAAGCTAAAATCAACTTGATACTAGCTGAAAGTAGCAGAAATGCACTAAAAAAA